GAGGCGGATCGTCGTTTGTCAAATCGTTGTCCAGGAGCTCCGACTGTCCTCTCGATAGTCCTCTCTTTTGTAGAGCGACCTCATTGTTTGACAAGATCTGGCAAGACATAGGGCCGCGGGGTCGAACACACATGGGGTAGACTGGAGGGACCTCTTCTACAGCTGATGTATTCGGCCTGAACTCGATCTTGTACTGACAACCAGGTTGGTTGACAACTCGGACAACTTTTTCCGGTCCGGCTGGAGATGAATGCGATTGTGATGGTACCGCCGCTTGCATCGAATTAGGAAGCATCCAAATTGTGTTGAAGAGGCCTGACGCGAAAAGTGTCCGAGAGACGGATTGGATGGTACGGCTTAACAATAATATTGGCTGGGGATTTTGGTGAACGGCATCCGCGAGAAGCAGTGACATGCAGACATGCAAGGTGCAGAGTAGAGCCCATGATGGCTTGAAGAAGTTGAAGGCGAGCATGAGGCGTCTTTTGAAGTCTCCTGATGGAATTGAGGAAAAGATGAAAGCGAGTGTGATCAAGAGAGTGCAAAGGAATATAGAGAATAGGATAATGTAAAAACAGGCCTAGCCAAATATAGTTAATGAAGAATCAAATAGATGCATATGGTAAACGACTCATACTGACCAGATTGGTCTGTCAAGTGGTGTGAGCAGATGTTGGCTGCTGGTAGTTGTTGAGGTATGCTTGCCATTCTGAACAACTCACATTCGAATTCGACGAAGAATGCTAGTCTTTATTGAATAACGCCTTAAAAATGTCTTTGGTTTCAGTTTTCTCCGTGGCTATCAGGATCCGTTTTGACAGATTGATCGGTATATTTTTAACGATGAATTCAAACGTTCACTTGGTCTGTATTTCCAGCGTCACTGTCCTATTCACTCCAGAATGGGTAGCACACTTAGCTTGTGGGTGCGCCGGGCAAAGGTAAGCATTCTAGTCGATAGATCACACGAGCTTAACTTCGTTGAGTCATACAGCAATCATGACTTTCAGTGTAAAGTTGGCTCGTCTAATGAATGCTTTGGTATCAAAGTACACGGTGAGTAGGCGGATCAACCATCCGTCCAGTACCCCTGTCGCAAAGTG